CGTCTCCTACAGATCGTTCAAAGACTACTTCGAGACGCTCGGCAAGGTTCGTTCTAAAAATAAAAACAAAAAATTTTTCTCTAGCGCTTCAAAAGAGCTTTTCGAAAATGCGAGAGATTTGATTCTTTTTTCAAAAATGCACTGCAAAATTATTTTATAACATATCGCTTTTCCGATAATTCTCAAAAGATAGCCATGTTACTGCATAATGTACCAGACCCAAGGGCAATCAGCTTTCACAATTTCAGAAAAAATATCAAGAGTTATAATTAGCCATTTCGAGGCTTAAAGATTTTTGTTTCCCCAACCAAAAGATGTGCAAATTCAAACTATCGAATAGGAATTATCGTTAGATATTTTGAGCAATTCTTAGAAAGTTTTCCAGTTTATAATAATGGCTTTTAAATAGTAAAAACTTAACATTATTTGAGCATTTTTCGACAATTTTTCTTTTTACTCTATAGCTTTCAGCAAAAAGCTTTCGTTTTTATTTACTTAGCTTGCTCTGAATAAAATTCCTTATATGGCTTTGAGTGGCTTACTGATCAGCAAGCGGATGTAGAAAATCTATCCGTTCTTGAGAAAAACAACGTAAATTTTGAATAGGACTTTTCAACAAAAAATGAACAGTTATTTTTCAGATGGGTTTGCTCCTGGACGCTCAAAATCGTCGTGTTCTGACTCTCTTCGCGGCGGCTTCGGAAGATGATCATCTTCCTGAAAAAGCAAAGCCTCTGTTCAAGGTCCTCGAGGACTAACGAGCTCAATCCTGAAGTTCGCGTTGCTCCGGACGCAATCTCCACCTTCATCTTTTTCCTCCCTGGGGTTTTTGAAAATGACTTATTTAAAAAAAATTTTTTTAGTTGATCTAGAATGATGTGTGCTTCCTTGCTACGATAATCGTAACGGCAAAAAATAACTTTTTTTTCGACCAGATACTTTTATTTTGAAAAAAGTTATGAGCGAAAAACCTCGAAAATTTCCATCCCAGAGCATACAAATTTTTTCGGTTCCCGCAGTGGCGGATCTCAATCGTTAACTCATTCAGGTTTCGAACAAGTGGATCCACGAACGAGGCAACGAAGGGCGCAGGCCGTGCGGATTGAAGCCCTCGGACAGCGAACGTTTCATTGGAGACTTGGGCATTACGCAGGAGCCGAAAAACTCGGCAAATCTTTCACCAATCTTGTCTAAAAACATTTGGGAAACGCTTTAGTTTTTTTTGTTGACATTCAAGTTTTTTGTTGCTATTGATCATTTTCGGGTTGACGAGTACGTTGGAAATGGGAAAATCTTTGTCTTGCAAAAAAATTTTGCTGCTGCAAGTTTGAGCTGGACATTTAAAAAAAAAGTTCAAAAAATTTTTGAGCATGTATATGGAGCTAGAGAGAGAAGGCGTCTTTTCACTTTCCTTAGTGTGGTGGGTGGAGAATTAATGACGAGAGGTGTGAGGCGAGCATCATCGCTCCTACATTCAATTTTCGCTTCTTCTTTTCTGAAGCTCACCTTTTGCTTCTTTTAAAAAACCTTTCCAGGTCGAATAAATCGAGAATATCCCTTTTGTTTTTCATCAAATTTGATTGTGAAAAAATGTACAACAGTGCTCTGATTGGATCCAAATATTTTTGGACGTCACATTCGTAGAATTCCCGCGAAACTTATTTTAAATAGGAATGGAGAACTCGGACCAAGTTGGGAATTTGTCCTCGACAGCTTTAGATGCGCACATGTTTGATCTGGTGAGTCGTGAGATAAATGGGCGAAAACATTTTCAAACAAGTTTCACGAATAGATTTTTGGAATTTTTAGTTTTTGACACAAACACAAAGAGGAATTTGGAAAATGTTCAACTCACGAAAAAAAAAAGCGAATAATTAAGACACGTTACGATGTCGTCTCCGACGTCTTGCCGCCTCCAAATCATGAAGACTTGCACGTAATGATCATGGCCATTGCCTACCTCTTTTTGTTTTTGCTCGGTATACCATGCTTTTTATTGACGCTGGAAAATGCAAAAAATAGGTACATGCGGGAACGTGGCCGTCCTGACGACAATTTACCACATTCTGCAAGCTCGTCGAGGTGGCACCGCCGCCGCCGTCGTCACTCTGGATAATACCCTACTCTACATGGTCGTCTTGTCATGCGTCGATTTTGGCGTCTGCCTTTCGCTGCCCATCACAGTTATTGATCAGATTCTCGGATTTTGGATGTTTGGCGTGGCAGCGTGCAAACTTCATGCCGTCTTCGAAAATGTTGGCAAAATATTGAGCGCCCTCATCCTGACGGCTATGTCTTTTGACCGATATGCAGGTTCTATATGGAAATTTTTCTTACAAAACCGATATTCTTAGGCGTTTGTCATCCACAGAAAAAGTTCTTCCGATCACGCACAGTGGCGGTCATGATTTTGGTGGGACTTGGAATCTATGCCGTCGGAACCTTGTGCCCACTCTTGTGGTCGTTCACCGCACGCGAAATCGTGCTCTATGCCAAGGAGACGGGTTGGTTGTTATTTGCTTCTTGTCTCAATTGCCCGCGCGCGTCAAATGCCAATTATGCAGTGGGATTTAGAATAATCCTCGTCTCACGACGTTTCTTCAGAAAATGTTATTCATCATTCATTAAGGGCACCGGCGACTGACGCGAATGAAAATTGAAAAGTGTACCGTCGACATTGACTCGTACACGTTTACGGCATTTACCATTTATCAGGTCAGCCAGCCCGTTACAGGAATTAAAACTCTTCTAGTTTGTCTTGTGCTACTGCACTCCTTTGGTACTCATTGCCTACTTTTACACGAAACTTCTGTGCAAGCTCAAGGAGCACACGCGCTCTTTCAAGGCAAGTGGTTTTTGCTTCGCAAAAATGACAAGCTTAGGGATCACAAATACCTTTTGCTCACATCTCACTTTACACGATGGCAGTCGCCTGTTTCCATTTCATTTGCTGGACTCCGTTTTGGGCTGCAACCGTTTTTGCCGTTTACTTGGAAAATGTTGACAACAACAACAACACAACGACGGCGAATGCTAGTGAGACGAACGTGACTGAAAATGGCCAAGAATCGGTGGTTCCACCGGCTTTCGTGTACGTCATGTACTTCATTCACGCTCTCCCATTCACCAACTCCGCCATAAACTGGATCCTTTATGGTGAGACTAGTGGGATTTGAAAAAAAATTTGTTTGAAAAAAATTTTTGTTTGAGAAAAATTATCAACTAATTGTAAGTTCGATTTGAACTTTTGTCTCTCAAGGAGCCCTCAACGGACAGCTGCAACAACGGCCAAGGCGAGCAGGCACTTCATCTTGCCACAACACGGGGAGTAGTACCACTTTGACAACCTGTAGTGCTTCAACTGGAACGTTCAAAATGCAGTTGGTCAAGGCAATTGTCGCCTCCGACAACGGGGCAAATGATGACCAGGTAATTTGATGTGACAATAGAAATATACTATTGTCAATTCTTTTTTTGGTTTAACTAAAGACTTATTTACAGCCGACGGAAACGACAAGAGCAAGAAGAAGAATTCCTACTGATGCTGCTCTCGAGCGCCAAGTTTTGGTTCGCGACTCGGCGGTTCAAGCCTGCGCCACTTGTCGCGGCGGCGGAGACTCACCATGCCTCGGTATTTTGGACGTTGAGACCTACGACACTTGGAATGTGCATTTCACGTACGAGAGCCCACCAACCTATCTGTGAGAGAAATGTACCATTTTACTATCCATATTTTTGTTTTTTTTTTTTTTAAATAAAACTTTTTTTTTTATAACTGAGCACATTTAAACATTGTTTTAAGAAGAAGGAGTCTCGTTAGGGTATACACTCATCTGACAAAAAATTAATCGAATAGTTTTGATTTTCGCTTGGCCTTGCAGTTGTCAGGCTTTGTGGGACGCGGTCAGTTCTGGTATGGTCCGTCCGCCGCGAATTGACAATTTTCGAGTGTCTGAGTCTCTCTGTTAGGCGAGGTCACAGAAACGCTGAAAGAGATTCTCAACAAGATAGGGTCGCTTGAACAGCCTTCAAAAAAAAAATCTCATTATATTCCAATACTACGAAACAATCAAAATAGCTTTTTGGCTGTTTGCCCTTATGGTCTGAACTTTAAATTCGGCGTATACGTGATCTATCAGATCGCGTGAGCCGATCTCACGAGCTCTGCGTAGTGACTCATTCCTAGCTGTTCAAAGCTTTTCGGTCGAAGCGACTGATCATCAGATCGGTCGGGGTCCTGTCGGAGTTAGACAGGATCCTGGTGAGAACCAGGAGATCTCGTTCACCTGGTTCGAACCAAAAATCGGATCCAACATAGAACCGAGATCTGAGGCCCTGTGCTACACAACCCACAGGGACCGCGCTTAAACCAACGGAGAGGAGGGGGTTTTCGCTTGGCCTTGCAGTTTTCAGGCTTTTGTGGGACGCGGACAGTTCTGGTATGGTCCGTCCGTCGCGAATTGACAATTTTCGAACTGGCTTAGGCGCAGGCTTGGCCTGCGCCCTATTTAGGGACAGGATCTCAGAAATGGATTTACTCCCGCGTGGATAACTTTTTTTAGTTTCGACATATGTTGTGTAGAATTTTTTTCTGATTCTGGCACAACTGTCAAAACATGTGTGACACCGTGCTCGTTTTTTTGAGCTACGGTAGCTCAAAGTGTACTGTAAGGGTTTTTTTCAAAAAAATTCATATCTCTATGAGTTTTGAAGGTAGCGTATTGAAATTTTTCAGATATATTAAAGAAAAGACTTTGTTGTTTTCATTTAAAAAATAAATTTCGTTTTCAAAAACATGATTTTTTTGACTAATTTTTCGCACTTTCAAAAAAATGCATGAATTTTCGAAGAGCCGGAAAACCTACAAAAAAACTTGTCAGGGCGGCCTTGGCGAGGGGTGTGGGGCAACCGCCCCCACAAAAACGCAACAGTTAAAAAAATTTTATCAAAAAAATCTTGATTTACAAAATTATTAAAAAATCGAAAACCGAAAAAGTCGATTTTTCGCCATTTTGTTGACCAAACCGCCTAAAATGTTATATCAAACGACTCGAAAATGCAATTGTGAGTTCAACAAAAACAAAACTTTTCATCCAGAAAAAAATCAAAAAGAAAAAATCTGAGGCACAAATTTTTGGTGGGAAAATCATTTTTCAATTTTTCACATATGTTGTACAGAATTTTTCGCTGATCATTTTTAGTTATAACAAACCTGTGTAAAACTTTCATTCTCAACAAAGTTATGAGTCATCAAAAGGTCGAAAAAAATTTGGGCTTTTTCTGAAATTTCATAGTCTCAATGAGTTTTGAAAGGTATCGTGATGAAATTTTCACATATAGCATAAAAAAATGTTGTTTTCTGTTCTAAAAAGTCAACAAAATCAATTTTAAATAGATAAAAGAAAAATTGAAATCTAAAAATTTTTGATACTAAAATGTCCCAAAAACTTGAAAATATTAAAAAAATTAAAAAAATTTTGAAAAAAATCGAAAGACGAAAAATCGAAATTTCGAGTCAAAAAAAGTTATTTACAACTTTCAAAACAAATAATTTCGAAAACATTTCGAGTCATTTTGCGAAAACAAATCAAAGCATTTCGAAATAAATCGAAACATTTCAAAAACGTTTCAAAAATGATATAACTCACCTCAAAATGACTCAAAAGACATGAAAAAAACATTAAAACATAAAAATTACGCGGTGGCGCAGCCACCGCAATTCAAACTTTCTGTTGAAGATGTGGTGGCGTAGCCACCACAGTAAATCACATTTGAAGCCTGAGCTTCAAATTATTCTTCAGCATCAACAGGAAGGCAACCTGCGGTTGCCAACAAAACTCGGAAAACCCTCGAAAAAAACTGGGCCGCGGGACGGCCACAAAAAGTGCTATTTAGGGAAGCCTGTCTATCGACAAAACTCGGCCTCAACAAAAGTTGGAAAAATCTAACGAAGCCTGTCTACTGACCAAAACCGGGCCCAACAAAACTTGGAAAAATCTCCTCTGAAAAAAATCCCTAAATAGCGCGCCGTTTGAAAAAAATATAGAAAAAAACTCCAGCTTTCATGATGACTCAGTTGAGAGAAGCACCGACTGTTTCAAGCTGAACTGATAAGAAATAATTTGTGTTAAAAAACGCCGCAGGCGGAGCCTGCGGGTTGTTTGAATTTTTGAAAGTTTGAACAAAACGCTACTACACGAGGTTGAGAGGTCGCTCTTACTTGCAAGGTAGCTATTTCGTCTTTTTAAGAAATCAGCTCTCAAACGCCGCAGGCGCAGCCTGCGGTTTGTGAGAATTTATGCGAATGCGCTCGAAAAGAAGAGGCGCGCTATTTAGGGATTTTTCAGAGGAGATTTTCCAAGTTTTGTTGGGCCCGGTTTGGTCAGTAGACAGGCTTCGTTAGATTTTCCAACTTTTGTTGAGGCCGAGTTTTGTCGATAGACAGGCTTCCCTAAATAGCACTTTTTTTGTGGCCGTCCCGCGGCCCAGTTTTTCGAGGGTTAGGCGCAGGCGTGGCCTGCGCCCTATTTAGGAACAGGCGACCAGAAATGGATACGGACGCGCATCGATAACTTTTTTTAGTTTCGACATATGTTGTGTAGAATTTTACGCTGATTAATTTAGAACTGTCAAAACCGTGTGCCACGGGCCTCGTTTTTGAGTTATGAGCTGCCAAAGGTCGAAAAATGGGTTTTTTCAAAAATTCATTTCTAAATGAGTTTTGAAGGTATCGCAATGAAACTTTTACCGATAATGTATTCAAACTTGTTGTTTTATTTAAAAATAAAGTTGTTTTGATTTACTTGATTTTTTGACTAATTTTCGAAATTTTAAATTTTTCACGATTTTCGAACTGCCGAAAACCCACAAAAAACCTATTAGAGTACTTGTTCCACCTATGGAGGCGATAGTCCTAATCAATTTGAGCTATTTAAAAAAAGTTTATCGAAAAAAATGTCCATTTACAAAATTATTAAAAATTCGAAAAACCCGAAATGGCGATTTTCGCCATTTTTTTCGACCAAACCGGCTGGAAGTTATATCAAACGACTCAAAATTCAATTGTCAATCCAATGAGATAAAATTCATGCAGAAAAACTCAAAAAGAAAAAAAAATTTTTTTCAAGTTAAAAATTTTGATTTTCGAGAGGACGAGTTGGGCATGTCAGAGTGACAAAAATCATTTTTTCAGTTTTCACATATGTTGTAGAGAATTTTACGCTGATCATTTTAGTTGTAACAAGACCATGTGCAACTTCACTCTCAACAAAGTTATGAGCCACCAAATGTCGTAAAATGTGTTTTTTGATATCTCATGACTCAACTTAAAACCCGAGAAAAAACTTGTCAGGGGGCCTTGGCGTGGGTGTGGGGGCAGCCGCCCCCACAAAACGCAAATTATTGAACAAAAATTGATGGAAAATCTTCATTTACAAAATTATTAAAATTCAAAAATTGAATCGAGAAAAAAAAACTTTTGTTGAGAGTTTGTTGAAAGGGAAACTTTTGTTGAAAGAAAAACTTTTGTTGAGAAAAAAAACGTTAATTGAAAAAGTAACGGATTTTGTTGAAAATGAATACAAAATCCAATCGAAACTACCCCGCCAAAGTTATGATCAATTGAAGGCAACCTTCGGCTGTCAACAAAACTCGGAAAACCCATAGGAAGCTGGGTCGAAAGACGACCACAAAAGGAGGGATGCTATTTAGGGGGCCCTTGGAATAAGCCTGACTGAAACCAACAAAAGTGGGAAAATCAAAAAAGCCTGAAAACTGAAAAAGACGAAATCCAACAAAACTAGGAAAATCAAAAAAGCCTGAAAACTGAAAAAGACCAAATCCAACAAAACTAGGAAAATCAAAAAAGCCTGAAAAACTGAAAAAGACGAAATCCAACAAAACTAGGAAAAATCAAAAAAAGCCTGAAAAACTGAAAAAGACCAAATCCAACAAAACTAGGAAAAATCAAAAACCCTGCGAAAAATAGCGTAAAAACGCTATTTGACCCTAAATAGCGCGCCGTCAGAGGAGGAGTTTGAATGTAGTTTCAATTTCTTTCGTCTTTCGATTCATTCCAAGTCATTTCAATGATTTTCGAGACAATTCGAAACATTTCGAAACATTCCGATTCATTTCGAGCAATTTCGAGACAACTCGAAGCTTTTCGATTCATTTCGAGCAATTTCGAGACAACTCGAAGCTTTTCGATTCATTTCGGAGCATTTCGATTCATTTCGAATGATTTCAAAACATTTCGAAACAATTTGAAACATTTCGAATCATTTCGAAGCGTTTCGAGCAATTTCGAGACATTTCTAATAATTTAGAATCATTCTGCATCACTTTTTTTCTTTCCGAAGCAAATCGCTGATTCCGAAAAAGAAAAAAACGCGTGATTACTTTCAGAAGGATAAAAGCTTTTTCAATTAGGCGCGCTATTTAGGGTCAAATAGCGTTTTACGCTATTTTCGCAGGGGTTTTGATTTTCCTAGTTTTGTTGGATTTGGTCTTTTTCAGTTTTCAGGCTTTTTTGATTTTCCTAGTTTTGTTGGATTTCGTCTTTTTCAGTTTTCAGGCTTTTTTGATTTTCCTAGTTTTGTTGGATTTGGTCTTTTTCAGTTTTCAGGCTTTTTTGATTTTCCTAGTTTTGTTGGATTTCGTCTTTTTCAGTTTTCAGGCTTTTTTGATTTTCCCACTTTTGTTGGTTTCAGTCAGGCTTATTCCAAGGGCCCCCTAAATAGCATCCCTCCTTTTGTGGTCGTCTTTCGACCCAGCTTCCTATGGGTTAGGCGCAGGCGTGGCCTGCGCCCTATTTAGGAACAGGCGACCAGAAATGGATACGGACGCGCATCGATAACTTTTTTTAGTTTCGACATATGTTGTGTAGAATTTTACGCTGATTAATTTAGAACTGTCAAAACCGTGTGCCACGGGCCTCGTTTTTGAGTTATGAGCTGCCAAAGGTCGAAAAAAATGGGTTTTTCAAAAAAATTCATTTCTAAATGAGTTTTGAAGGTATCGCAATGAAACTTTTTACCGATAATGTATTCAAACTTGTTGTTTTATTTAAAAAAATAAAGTTGTTTTTGATTTACTTGATTTTTTTGACTAATTTTTCGAAATTTTTAAATTTTTTTCACGATTTTCGAACTGCCGAAAACCCACAAAAAAACCTATTAGAGTACTTGTTCCACCTATGGAGGCGATAGTCCTAATCAATTTGAGCTATTTAAAAAAAGTTTATCGAAAAAAATGTCCATTTACAAAATTATTAAAAATTCGAAAAACCCGAAATGGCGATTTTTCGCCATTTTTTTCGACCAAACCGGCTGGAAGTTATATCAAACGACTCAAAAATTCAATTGTCA